ATAGGTGAGGGAAGTCACTAATTCAATAAGTGACTTACAAAACATACAAGTCGCTCTTGGGTTAAATAGAAAAAACTACCTTAAGTGGTCACAACTGATTCAAACTTTCATAAAAGGGAGAGTTAAACTTAGTTATTTCCTCGAAACGGGTCTAAAGGAAAGAGATCCCAGATTTGAGGCTTGGGATGAACAAGACTCATTGGTTATGTCTTGGTTGTGGAATTCAATGTTACCTGAAATTAGTGACACCTACATGTTTCTTGGAACAACCCAAGAGATTTGGGAGGCTGTAAAACAAACCTATTCAAAGGTTTGAGATGCTACCCAGATTTATGAAATTAATAGCAAGATTTCTGCCACTAAACAAGGAAGCAAATTTATAATAGAGTATTTTAATATGATGCAGAATTTGTGGCAAGAAATGGACCACTATCAATGCATTTAGATGAAATGCAGTGGAGATGGAACAATCCTAAAAAGGTTTGTAGAAAAAGATAGGATTTATGATTTTCTTGTTGGACTAAATGTAGAATTTGATGCAGTAAGGGTCCAGATTCTAGGAAAAGAAGACATGCCCTCACTGAATGAAACTATTGCTGTCATTCGTGCTGAAGAAAGAAGAAGATGAGTGACGGTGGTTGAAAATAATCAAGTAGAAAGCTCATCCTTGGTTACTAGGGTTGTTTATGAGGAAACAAATTGTATGGAGCAGCAGAATATTGAAGGCAGATAAGGAATAATGACGGTTAACAAGGACTCTTTACGGTGTATTTACTACAAAAACCTCGTCACACCGAAGAGAAATATTGGAGGTTGCATGGAAAGCCTCAGACTACAAATAAGAACTCTATAGAGAAAGTAGGTTCAGTAAGAGGATAAAACAGAGCTTAAGCAACTAAACATGTGGTTAAAGAGTCTGATGAACAATTTGTTAAATTCAATCGGGAAGAAATAGAAAAATTAAAGAACCTACTGGAATCCTTAGAAAAATATCCTCTTCAGGTACATGAAATTTAGTTTTCTCATATATATCTTCTTCCTCTTCTCAGAATTCTAACGCCTTGGACAAAACACCTGGGTAATTGACTCAGGAGACACTGACCACATGATTAATTCTTCACTGAACTTCCTCACCCACATACCCTACTCTAGCAACAAGAAAATCACGATTGCAGATGATACTATGGTAACGGTTGCTGGCCAAGGAGATATTGCCATCAGTAAAAATCTATTACTTAAAAATGTTCTACATGTGCCAAAACTATTTACTAGCCTTATCTCTATTCCAAAGCTTATCAAAGACACTAACTGCAGTGTTCTATTTCATCCTACACAATGTATTTTTCAGGAGTAAGAAACGAAGAGGATGATTAGGCGTGCTAGGGACATAAATGGGTTATACTACCTTGAAGATCTTAGTGGACCAACTAGAGTTTTGAATACTCAGCCATTGTTTGTTTTATTCGAATATACAACCAATAAAAACCAAATCTATCTACATCACTTTTGCCTTGGTCACCCACCTTTTAGACTCTTAAAAACTATGTTTCCCTCCTTGTGCAATTCCTTAAATGTTGAAGAATTTCATTGTGAAGTTTGTGAATTTGCAAAGCATAAACGTTCCACTTTTCCAGCAAGTAATAAATGAACCAACAATCTCTTTACCCTTATCCATATTGATGTTTGGGGATCATCCACTATTCCTAACATAATCGGGGCTAGGTGGTTTGTGTATTTTATAAATGATTGTACTCGGGTTACTTGGATTTATCTACCAAAACAAAACTATGATGTTACATCTACCTTTAAACCTTTTACACCATGATCAAGACTCAGTTTGGGGCTGAAATAAAACGAATCAGATAAGACAATGCCAATGACTACTTTAATCAAGTCTTGTATCCTTATTTCTTAGAAAGAGGTATTCTACACTAGTCCTCTTGTGTAAACACTCCCCAACAGAATGAGGTAGCAGAAAGAAAGAATGAACATCTTCTTGCCATAACTAGGGCCCTTTTATTTCAAAACAATTTTCCTAAAAGGTATTGGGGGAAGCTGTGTTAACAACCATTTACATGATAAACAGACTACCCACTTAAGTCCTTGAATCCCAAAGTCCCCTTCAAACCTTTACAAAGTTCTTTCCAAATTTCATTCTCTCTCTTAACCTAAAACCAAGGGTATTTGGGTGTGTTGCTTTTGTTTATATTCATTCTCAAGGCCGAGGTAAACTTGATCTAAGGGCATTAAAATGTATTTTTATTAGGTATTTCTCTACTCAAAAGGGCTAAAAGGGCTACCACCCTCCTACAAGAAAATACTACACTTCATCTGATGTCACTTTTGTGGAAAAATAGAGTTATTTTACAGTTCCTTATCTTCAAGGGAAGATAAGGATGCAAATTTTTTTATACTTCAACCCCTCGTTGATTTTCCTACACCTACACCTATACCTATACATTCTACAGAAACACAGACATAAACACAGCCTGCTTCTACTTCATCCTCTCCCCGGTCAAAACCTAGTACTCCTCAACCAAACATTACTACATCACAACCCAATATTCAGGACACTACTTGTCCCCTAAGGGTCTATTCGAGGAAAAAGGCACTTATGCAGATTCAATCATCCCCTTCTCATGCTCATGCTCTTATACAATTTTAGGTACACTCTGAAACTCTTTTTGAACAAAGTGATGCTGAAAATACTATATCTAATTATGATTTTGAATTTACCATTGCTATTAGAAAAGGAAAAAGAACTTGCACCACCAAACATCCTATTTATCTGTTTTTGACCTATAAAAACCTATCCCCCAATTACAGAACCTTCCTTGTAGCCTAAATGACATTGCTATTTATCTGAGGCATTAGAAAATGAGAACTGGAAAAAGGCTATGAAAGGGGAAATGGAGGCGCTGGAGAAGAATAAGACATGAGATTTAGTGAAGATGCCAGAAAGGAAAAAAATAGTAGGATGCAGATGGGTACTTACTGTTACGTATAAATCAGATGGTTCTCTAGAAAGGTACAAAGCAAGATTGGTGGCTAAGGGGTACTCTCAAACTTATGGAATTGATTATCTTGAAACCTTTGTTTCTGTTGCAAAGATGAACACAATGAGGGTCCTATTGTCCTTAGCAACTATTCAGGGATGGAATTTACAACAATTTGACATCAAAAATGCTTTTTTCATGGGGACCTTGAAGAAGTTTACATGGATATTCCACCCGGATTTGATTCGAATACTGGACAGGCAGTGTGTAAGTTAAGAAAAGCTCTTTATGGTCTAAAACAATTCCCAAGAGCTTGTTTTGGGAGATTTACTAAAGTAATGCTAAAATAAGGCTTCAAACGGAATCAAGATGATCCTACTCTGTTTGTGAAATATTCTCCTTCAGGGGGAGTAACTACATTGTTGGTGTATGTAGATGATATAATTGTTACAAGTAATGATTCTGAAGGATTTGGAATTTAAAGAAGTGTCTTATAAAGGAGTTTGAAGTGAAAGGACCTTGGAAGATTAAAATACTTCCTTAGTGTTGAGGTGGCTCACTCATAACAAGGGATTTTTATATCTCAGCAGAAGTATACATTTGACTTGTTGAAGGAAACTGGAAAATTAGGAAGTAAACCAGCAGAAACTCCTATAGAAGTCGATCACAAGATTGGAGACTCAAAGAAGAATGATATGATAGTTGACAGAAGTTTTTTTTTCAAAGACGTGGGAAAGCTTATCTATTTGTCACACACTGGACCAAACATAGCATATGTTGTTGGGGTTGTGAGCCAATTCGTGCACAATCCCAAGGAATCATAACTAAGGGCTATAGTCCAAATTTTGCAGTACTTGAAGAGTACACCAGGAAAAGAAATTCTATTTAGAAGAGGGGGGAACTTGACTCTGGAAGCATACACTGATGCAGATTATGAAGGATCCATCATTGATAGAAGGTCAACCTCAGGTTATTGCACTTTCTTGGGAGGAAACTTAGTTACTTGGAGAAGCAAAAAACAGAATGTGGTGGCTAGATCAAGCGCAGAAGCTGAATTTCGAGCTATGTCATTAGGAATTTGTGAGTTATTATGGATGAAGATTATTTTAGAAGACTTGAAGATAAAGTGGAATGGACCAATGAAACTCTACTGTGATAACAAGTCAACAATCAACATTGCTCATAATCCAGTTCAACAAGATAGAACAAAACATGTTGAAGTGGATAGACATTTCATAAAATAGAAACTTGACAGTGGTCTGATCTGTATTCCCTATGTGACCACTTGAGATCAAGTTGCAGACATACTTACCAAGGGTCTATTTGGTAAGTATTTTCAGAAGTTAACAGGCAAGTTGAGGATGGAAGATATCCATGCAAACATACTTACCAAGAGTCTACCTGGTAAGTATTTTCAGAAGTTAACAGGCAAGCTGAGGATGGAAGATATCCATGCTCGCAGCTTGAGGGGGAGTGTCAGAGATTAGTTACCTAAGTTAAGAAGATTGAGTTGGATTTGTAAATATTCTATCTAGTTAGTATCCCTAAATCTAAGGGATTCTTTTTATTACTAGAATTAGTCTCTTACCTAGTTTAGAAGTTACCTAAGATAAGGCTTAGGCTTGTATATATAATTGTAAGTTTCCTACACATTTAATAGGAGTGAATTACAGTAAAATTCATGGCTTTTGTCAAAGGAAAATCCTACAAATTTGTAATTTTGTTAAATGCTTTAACTGCAGTACTATAATGGTGATGTTGAGGAGCTCTGTCTAGTTTTCACAGTTACTGAAGAATCTTTTGGTAAACGGCACTTTATCGAGCTTAAACCTGGTGGCAAGAATGTTTGTGTGACCAATACGAAGAAGAGGCAGTATGTTCATGCAATGGCAGATTACTAACTCAACCGACAGGTCAATTTTTAGTTATTTCATTAATATTATAGAAATATATCTGTGCATCATAAAATCATTATATTAACTTCTTTTTAATGTTGGATCGCAGTACTTCCCTTTTCAAATGCATTTTATAGGGAGTTAACTGATCTTATATCTCCCTCTTGGTTGAAGTTATTTAATGTAAGTGAATTCAATCAGGTATTTTTACTCGATGTGGTTTTTGAGGATTCATACTTGTGCATAGTTTTACTTAATGATACGCCGAATAGTTTTCTATTCAATTTGCCTCACCTATCCTATCACTTAATGATAGAGGTTGACTAATAGCACACAACATTGACCCACATTTCTTTATGCAGTTACTTTCTGGTGGAGACCATGATATTGATGTTGATGACTTAAGAAATAACACACGGTATACTGGTGGTTATTCCGAGGGAAGTCGAATGGTTAAACTTTTCTGGGAGGTATTAGCATAATGGAAGTATAACTGATTTTTCTAACGTTTGGCTTAGTCCCTCAAATGTTTTAATCATGAAAACAGCAATTCATAAGAAAATTTCATTTACTGCTAAAATTTCATTTAGCAGTTCTGTTTTAAAATTTCATTTAGGTTATGAATGATTTTGAGCCAATAGAGCGATGTATGCTGCTAAAATTTGTGACCAGCTGTTCCCGAGCTCCTTTACTGGGGTTCAAATGCTTGCAACCATCTTTCACAATTCATAAGGTATGCAATTATATCTGTTAAAAGTTTTCCCATTTGCTAAATCAATTTAATGAATTAGATTGCAACAAACAAAAAACAAAATGAATAAAAAAAGGAAATTCCCCAAGTTTAAAAGAAAATATATTTTAAAGACGAGGGATAAACGAGAATTATAAATGCAGAAAGGGGTACGTGACCATCTTATACCTTGTCAACAGCTAAACTAAGTCAGGATCTTGATCTTGTATAGGTTGCAGGTGATGCTCCTTTTTCTGGCTGCGATTGGAGGTTAAGATTTAGAGCGACTTCCATCAGCTTCTACGTGCTATAACACTCTCAAGGTATTAAAATTGGGATTGGATGCCCTCAAGCCTAGTAATTAATATGTTAAAAGGCTTCATAACAATATCAAAGTTTAAGACACGTGATTTAACATCTCATATCTGCGTAATGGAGGGGTGAATTGAGATTCTAAATTCTAAACTAATCACATCCATCTTTCTTGCTCTGTTGAAGGGTCACAGCTTCCAACATATAAGCGGTTAAGAACTCTGAAAGCAAAGCTTCGTTAAGCAATCAATTCTAATGCTGGATTCCAACTTTCATAGGGGCCTGAGATATTTAATTGTGCAGGTGAACTTCTAGTACCATTTGAGTTCGACTTCCTTATTGTCTAAATTCATTTCTATCTGCTACAAGGATTTTAATATATTAATTTTTTTATAGAAATACCCTTACTAAAGATCATGTCTCTTTCAAATTTCAATTGTCATCTAGTTTATTGATGGTTAATTTTGTAGACTGTCTGGATGAACAGAATTGTTATAGGAACGGAAGAATTGATTAAATAGCGTGTGAGATGTGAAATGATTTCAACAATCTTAAAATTTGATTATGTAGGAATATGCGCTAGATGTGAATCCCAAAGTTGTATGATAGGGCAGAGTGTGAGATAGTTGTGAACCCAAAGTCGTGTGCTAGTCGGGGAAAACTAGTTCATATGTCTTTCACAATGTTTACACTACCATGTCTATATCATTTAACAATCTGCATTTTCTGGCATACTCTAAGAAAGCTAACTAAATTGTTCACAAAGCAACCATATCATTTTATTGACGCAAGGATTGATGCATCAATTTCCCCGACAGAAATGCAGCAATTTACCCCTGCTAAAAGCATAATAAGGAGGTTTTACATGTGAAAAACACTAAAATTCTCCTGCTAAAACAGCCATACCGATGAAGCAAATATTTTAGACTCATTATAATGTCTAATATCCTACATATGAGAAGATTACAGAAACTGCTGTTAGTGTTTCCTTCTTTTTATTCCCTTTCTACAACCATGAAGGAAATAGCTTCAAGAGATGAGTCCCACTCCCTGTGCTAGCAAATTGCCTGATAATACTTCATTAGCTGCTTGAGAGGGATGGAATCCATCCCAAAATGCATATGATGTAGCATTGGAGCATGTCCCCAGGGCCCTGGCATTGCAAAGCAAGGAGGTCTCTAGAGTACCCGTACCACAGCAAGCTCTTCTTGACTCAAAGAAACCTGCAACAATAATAATACCAAATTCGCAGGGGAAAATTATATTAATAAGTCACTTCATTCAACTGGAAAATCATGCATGATGGAACCTTGAATAAAACATTGAAAGGAACTACATCGTTTTGAAATTGATATGAATTATCAGATAATAACCCCAAAAGTTTACTAGTTTCATGTTACTAGTGTGAATAAAACTTTATCTTTTAGTACTAGGTTTTCCTCAGTTAAATAATGAAATTTGGTAATTAAAAATTGCTTTCAAAATATATGATCTTGTTTATTCTATTCGCTTAAAGTTAGCAGAGTAATATTTAAAGAAAATTAAATTATTCCTACTCATACAGCATGTTGATTCATTCTGTTGATTAACTAGTCTTTTGCACAATAGGTGGTTTACCATTGTCGCTAGGCTTTGTGACCATGTCCAAGAGAGGCTGGTATATATCGAAGACTACAAGTTTGAGACCAGGAAACTTATTCTGTAGGCTTAGAGATGTGCTGTTCAGTTTATTGTTGAAGGCTATGGCATCTTGGTTTAACCTTGCAACACAGACGTTACTTCCTCCACCAAATAGGGTGATTGCTGCAGGTAAACAACCTGTTGGTGGCAAGGATGTCACTCCAATCCTCCTTGCTCCCAGTCCATACAGATTCTGTTTCAAACATGAAATAGTTGTGTGCTTTATAGAAACCGGCATGTAAGAAGCTCGCTTCTCATTTTTCTTTCATTTTCATTAAACATTGCTATGAGCTTCAATTACAAATGCATTTCTTTTTACTATTATCGTTGTAACATTTCTAGTTACATAGTGTCTACTGTCCAGAATTAGGTAAGGGTACAAACATAATTCAAAACAGGCATTAATTTCTCATGTAAATGGTCCAGATATTGCCGAAGATAGCATAATATCCCCTATAAGTGAAAGCTAAATGATACCTGAATGAAACTAGAGTAGGATCTCATGAGAATATCAGAGAATTGATCCGGTGTATAGATTCGGTTGAGTAGAGGATTGATGTAGTAGTTCTGAATATAATCACTACTTCCTGCACTCAAAAGATGTATGGCACCAGAGACTGTCGTTAGCTTTAGCTTTTCCTACCATGTTCTCCACTTTCGTTTGATACTCCTTGTAGTAGTTTAACTGCAGGCTCAATATAATGGCACGCTACAGGATTCAACAAAACAGTTCATCTTGTTAGATGAGCAGGCTTCATATTCAGAATGATAGAGAAAAAGAGAGGGGTTGAGATCTTAATTGTTTACATATAGGTTTGCAGTTCTGTCATATAAACCAGAGGCAGCCGAAGCAAAGTTTGCTCCGGTCAAGAGAGCATTTCCTCTGGCATCTTGACTAAGGTAAGCTGGTGGGTAAGACATGAATCCAAGGTACTCAGCTGTGCATGCAGGAATGAAAAAGGTCCATTAAAGAAGAGTGAAAGAACGTAAATGAATGGAGAGAGAGAAAAACACGGTTCTCAAGAAAACATTACCGGTGAAGTCCGTGGCAAGTTTCCCGTTACAGAATCCTCCGGTTGGCCTGTGAGTAACAAAATCTCTTCCATATGGTGGGAAGTTCGCCTTGATAGGCGTATTGAGATTGTTGTTATTCCCGACGTCAACAACCGAGTCCCCAAAGATGATGAGTGCAGGAACAAGGGGATCGCCATTAGCCAGTGATGAAACCAGTACAATAACCAAGGTAGCCAAAAACTCACTTGAAACTCTCATTTCTGTTTTTTCTCCTTTGCCCTTTGTTTCAACAGTAAACCTGAGTGCTTGTATACCAGAGAGAGAGAGAGAGAGAGAGAGAGAGAAGTTAATGGAGGGGGGGTGAAAGGAGGGGCAGGTGAAGGAGAATTTAAGGAGAAGGAGCCATGGGTGAGAGTTATGGTGAAACTGATACAAATGTCTTTAAGAGAATGGTTCCATTAAAGGTGCTTATTTCTAGGAGAAGAGACATGTTTTAGCATTCCGTAAGGACCCATAATTTCTGCCATTAGCCTTAACAAACAAAGTGCAGTCCATGTCCTACCGTTTTTCTTCAGGTGACAATAGAATTAGTTAAAGTTTTAAGTGCCTTTTTAAAAAGAGCTTGGTTGCCGTTTCATCCACATTTTGCATAACGTCCGAGGGTTGCGTGTCTTCAACAAATTTTCCAATCGTGTTCTACGAGCATGATCCCGTCATCCAGAGGTGGCCAATTTTGAAGTTGTTTCTTCTCTTTTAATATCCATTGGTTACCAATTATGTTGATTCATCTCTTTTATTTTATTTCCCAACCCCATACTTGTCTCTGTCGTATGTCTAGACTCCAAAGACCCCCAAAGCTTAAAAAATGTGAACTCGTACACTTGTCTGACATTTTTTTCTCAAACCCGGGTAATATGAGTTGCAAACAAAATTAAAAGGTTGACTTAATTGATTAAAATATGTTACAAATGATGAGGCCATTTCACTAGGATACTTTGACGTACTTAAAAACAAAGGGATTCACGATTTTCCAAACATACCCATAAAAGAATTGCAGGAATTGAGCCTTTACCCACCCTGTTTCATTCATCATATTCCCTATCGATGTTGATTTCTTTTGAAGGTAGTAGAGCTGTGAGTTCAGGGATCTCATAAGCACCAAAAAAACAGATCAAAGTGGTGCTGGAGCTTAAATTTTGGGGCGTCGAAATCATAAACTTGAAACTTGTTTGGTGTCTTTTGAATTATTTTTGTAAGTTGTGTCATCTCACTGATTCAAACAAGTTAATAAACGTTCTCTTTATCATTGGGTTTTCCAAATAAATCTGTTCATAATCATTTGTATTTGATTGCTGGATGCGTGTGTAAAACACGTGTGCAAAGATGTCCAGCTGCATGTGAAAACCTTACGTTTACAAAGAGGCTGAACATGGTATCAGTATCAGTGCATTGTAAATAGGGTAAACTATGCATTTAGTACCTAAACTATTAGTTTTCATTCGTTTCAATACCTAAACTTTTGATTTCTTCAAAATCGTATCTAATGTTTAATTTTTGTTTTCATTTGAATACCTGTCGCTAAAAACTTAACGGAACTTTTCCATGTGACATTTTTATAGGTAAATTTCATCATTCATCACTTAATTATTTCCTCACTCCTATTTTGGTCATTAAAGTTTACAAATTTTTAATTTAACTACTCAACTCTCAAATTGCTCATGTTTTAATCAATTTAATTTATTTTATTTATAATATATTGATACGTGATATTTTTATTATTTTATTAATATATAATTAAAATAAAATATAAATTTAAAAATTAGGAGTAATTTAAAAGTTAAGTAATTAAATTAAAAAAAATTCAATGACCAAAATAGGAGTGAGAAGATAGTTGAGTGATGAATGATGTAATTTATCCATAAAAAGTGTTAAGTTATAACAATTCACTATGTTTTTAACGACGAGGTACTAAAATAAAAACTAAACGTTAGATATGATTTTTTTAAAAAATTAAAAGTATAAGTACTAAAACGGGCCAGAATTGATAATTTAAGTACTAAACATGTAATGTATCCTTATAAATAATATAAAATTTGTAAAATAAGAAATTATTTCTTTTTAAAACTAAAACATTCCCCCAGTGTTCAATCTTGGGTTTAACTGGAATACTTCTGGAACCAAAATTTTGCACGACCCCATGTCAATTTTCCACTAGTTGTGCTGAAAAATTATTTATTCAGATTCTTTTATAATTTTATAAATAAAATAGCATTCATTCGATAATATTATTTTTAAATATTATTTTTTACTTGTTTATATAGAAAAAATAAAAGCATCTTTATAATAATATTAAATATCTTTTAAAATAAAAGTAATTTGATTGAGTCCTTGCTCAAAAATATGGCGCAATATATGCCCTGTGCTGCTTTGTTTTGTGCCACCTTCCTACATGTACAATTTCTTAAACACCTTCACAGTTGCCTGCTTAGCAAAATCTGAATTTTGTATATTTAAAATCTGGAGTTGGTAAACCCCCATCACTTCTTCAGAAATTTCCCAACCCCAAAATGAAATAACATTCAACATGAAGGATTTTAAAGCAACTTCTTGTATTTACTTGTTACTACCAACAAGGTTAGGGCCTATGGCTTAACACAAGAAATGAAAAGGAAAAATATCATCATTAATTGCCTATTTCACCAAAAACCAGACAAACAAATGATGTTTACAACATGGACACTGATTGCCTATTTAATCTAGAGACAGGGAAAAGAGAACCGAGTACCCGTTTTTTCCTGCTTCCGAAGTAGTGTGTTTTGCTACACCTCAATTCCGGTAGAGAGATAATATACAGCTTTCGCAATGCCTGGACATGAAGGGTCGTTTACAAGGAGCAAGCCAAGATATCTGTAAGAAGTTTAGATGTATGTCCCCATCCGTTCACAAGCAATCTAGGCCAGATGAGAACCTTACACTTTGGGGTATAACTACCCTTTTCTATCCAAGTAAAAAGCGTAAATGCCTTCCCGACCACCGAAAATAAAGATCGGACAATCTACTATATAGATTGAAGAAAGAATGAACTTTTACAGACTGTAGAGTTTAAATCACATAACCTGAAATCCCACAAACTCTAAAAGTTGTATAAGGAGAGTTATAAAACTGAAACGCATAAGCTTGAAGAGCATCTCTCGCGTCGAGCTACTCACACTCGGCTGTCCTTCATTTATGAAATCTTTACTGGAAGTAATGGAGACATTTATAGATGATGAACCTAACAAGTTGAATTTCAGATACAATGTTGCAAAAAATGAAGTAATAGAACTCCAGGATAAAAAAGGATATAATCTAATTAATAAACTAAACTTACAATCGTAGTTAGCCCATCCAATTCGTTGACGAGCAAGATCATAAACAAATATCTTATCTTTTAAGACAAGATCTGCAAAATGAGTAAGCTACAAAGTGGTTACAATCATCTTTAAGAAAGTAAACAAAATGGTGAAATTATCACTAATGCAAAATAGCAGGCACGAACTAGGGTCCGAGAGACCCGAATTGATACTAGAGTCATAAAGTTTTAGCTTCGATACCATATGATTGGGTTATCATGTGAGTAGACCGAAAAAAGGCTTCTTCAATTTTCAATGGATAAGGATAAAATCAACAAAACCCCATTTCCTTAATTAATCCTTATAAGTAGATTGATTTTAGATTTTTTTTTTTTTGGTGTGTGTGGAAAGGAAAGGAGCTATTTCAATATTTTTTCCAATAATTTCACAGAAATGATATACAATAACAAATAAATAATAATAAATTGAATTTTAGACTGATTCTATATAAATTGAATGTTCCCCTTTTACTATCCATATTCAAAGAGTTAGTGAGAATTCCTCGGTATGCAACCAAATTTTAGATGATTCATTTTTTTTTTTTGATAGAAATTGGATAGGCCTCGTTAAAAACCCCCTTCTTCACCTCCATGTTACAACAATAACATGAAGGGCATGGGAAGGAGGAAAAGAG